TCTGTGTGCGACTGCTAGATACACGTGTGCGCGGTTAAATCTGAAAAATTTGCGAAAATAAGAATAGCTACTTTTCAGATTTCATTATTTATATTTTATATTTTTTTCTTTTCTTATTTTGGTGTATGATGATTGTCGTGAAAAAGTATATATGCTCAAACACAAGTACATATTTACGTAAATTTCGTAATATTCTGAGTAAATAGATTTTTTTTAAATGTTGGTGAAAGTAAGGGACGAGGAAACGGAAGTGGTGAATAACACCAGTTTAGTGTTATTTGTGACAGTTATTGATGTAAGACGAAATAATAATATAACAACAAAAAAGAACTAATCGAATACCTACCTATTTCGGTTACTGAAATACGTAGTATTATGTACTTGCCTTTATGTACCAATATATGTATATAAAAGTGTTTGCCATTACTTGTAGGTGTGCATAATATTTACCGGGTTGGTTGCCAAAAAACAGTGTTCTATACCAGTGGTTCTGTGCTATTTCGCTTGTGCTTTTTAAATATGCAGTGTGTGTTTGCCTTTGTCGTGTGTCATTAGTTTTGCCGTATGGTGCGTATTATGTGACGTGCTAATGTGACAAAATCATTTGTGTTTGCAGAAAATTGCTGAGTTCAATTAATGTCATGAATTGTATAATAAGTAGAAAAAAATTAAAGAGCAATGCTTAATTATCGAGAGGTCGAAATAAAATAGCTAAATTTAGAGTAAAACAGCATAAATTAATCAATCCGACATACGCACAATTAGTCCAATCGAAATTGGTAGAACTACACTCTTCTTAAGATATTACGACTAATTTATGCGTTTATTTTTTGATTTGTGTCTTCCTTTGCAACAAAAATGTGGTTAATTAAGAATTACAACAGCGTTGAGTAGTACATATTTCTGTCCATAAGAATGCAATTGGCACTTCGCGTTCGGTCATTGGTCGCTATCGCTTTGATTTGTAGACTTGCCTACATATGTACGTATAAATAATTGACTTACATGTGCTCACACCATTTTCAACGTGCTCCTTTGAAGCGTAACCGGCACTGCAGCCGCCAATGTATGTTTCGCTGACCGTGCACAAATGGAAAATTAGTGGAATCAGTGAACACAATTTTTTTTTCATTACTTTTTTTGTCCAATTTATGAACTGTCAGTGGTCACATTTCAATATTTATTCGTGCATACATACATACATATGTATGTAGTTGTAAATGTGTGAATGCATAACTTTGAGCATGAAAACCAAATACATATCTATTTACTTTTATATAGTACATACACAAATACATGTTTTAGTCAATATTGGTATGCTTCACTGTTTCCACTTATTTTGCTGTCCATTGAAATCAAACAGCAGCGACAGGTAACAAATATTGCCGGTAGAAAAGTGTAGGACAGCAATATTTATGTAGGTAAGCAACGGCATCGCTAACGAAACATCAAATTATTCGCATATTATACACATACATACATATATGTGAATGAATGAATATTTGCTGTAAAACTTGTATTCACCAAGCGGCGTCTGCAGTAAGCATAGTGCCAATTTCTAAGAAAATATTAACAGAACAATCGTGTGAATGCAGTTTAATTGGATAAGTGCTGACTTCGAAAAAAGCAACAAGGGGAAAAAAATAAATAAAAGCAAAAACAAAAATAGTGCGTAACTAAATTGGAAAAAGAAGAAGCAG